TGTGTGTGTGTGTGTGTGTGTGTGTGTGTGTGTGTGTGTGTGTGTGTGTGTAAGGTAGGTAAACAATGTTATCACTCCACGGGAAGCCAAAAATGTAGATGACAATACATTCGTTCAAAGTGCCTTTCCCAAGGACACAACATCGGGCCCGCGGCTCGAACCCCCGACCCCGCAAACTCACGATAACGAGTCCTGTAGCCTAACCACAAGCTTGGGAGTCCTTGGTAATCTTGGCAAGCAGGGTCCGAAGCCCGCCTCCTCAATTATTTAATGAAGTCGATGGGGGCTTAAAAACGCTTAATTTAAAAAAATATTCAGCGGTTGCAAATGTGATCAAAGAATGAGAACGTGCATTGTGTATGGATACAAATTTTTTCTAGTTTCTGTGTATTTGTCAGGCTCTTCCTCTCTCCCCACCTCTCACCCCCATTCTCCCTTTCTCACCACACCCCTCTCTTCTTCCTCTGTATTTAAGTTTTATTTTCCCTGTTTCTTTCTTTTATTCTTCTTCACCCCCCTCCCTGTATGTGTCCATATTGATTTTCTCTCAATTGTACCTCCAAAAACTACGATTTTAGGCTTTCAGATCATACCCATGTCCATCAAATTCAAAATAACTGTTAAAAGAGATTGTCACCAGTATCTGAATGTTCAAGTACATTAGAATCTACCTAAGATAGACATAACACCAGCAAAAACTCAAACTTGACCCCTCCCCACCCCTTCCCCATTTAAAAAAATAAGTTACGAGCGCCTTTTGCGCATTACGCAACAGTAACTTAAGTTGCCCGACTGAGAAGAATGGAGACTCCAGAAGTGCAGGCTGTGTCAAAATCGTAATCTAAGTTTCGAGTAGAGGGTTTAAGTGTAGATCTACTTTTATCTTGTACTTTAACCACTTTTATGTTTATTTCTTCCGGCATAATCTATCTATAATAATTGCTTGGTGCTGTTTTGATCTTGGAGGTGGCGGTAGCGCCCACCCTGCAGGGCATCTGTAACTAGACACCGAGCTCAACAAAAGGCACAGCGGGGATACCAGCAAAGGCTGGTTGATCCTGTCTCCATCAAGGCTGTTGACGGTAGAAGCTTCACATAACCCCACAAGAGATAGCCATCTAATTCATGACCTCTTGTAGTAGCCCTCACAACCCCCCC